CAGCTTTTTACGTTTATATCAGGTTCTTGTTTCAGACATTCCCAAGAACTCGTGGCATTACTGCCGAAAGTGTTAAATCAGTCCAGAAAATTTAACACTTTCGGAAGTGAGTCTATCTTTCAGTGATTAAACATTTTCCTTACTGAACTCAAACTTTTTTGAAGTTACCAAATATGTTATGAGCTGAATACACCGATCCAGTGTTTCCAATTTTTCCGAAGTGATTCAAAACTTTAGTAAAAGACTGTACAGTTCGAAGTTATTCTGTACGTGCTATTTTTTTTTCAGCTTTTCTCAAGTTATTCAGTACTGTCTGAAGTAATTCTGAACTTTTCCAAAGTGATTCCAAACTTTCCTAATGTAATGTAATGTCAGTTTGGACTGATCTCGTTTTTGGAAACGTAACTACAGTGCACTCTCTACAACTCGAGTTATAGAATTATCGATTTATAGAATGACAATCCCATACAAATTAGCTATCGCAGTAGCCATGACACTCATTTTTATTATGATTATATAACTCGACATCGAGTTAGTGAACATCGAGTTGTGGAGAGTTGAACCGAGACCTTTTTCGATGTGTCACAATTGAGTGGCTTAGCGATACAAATCAATACTCCCTTAAGTGAATCCTGTTGAAAAAGTATTGAAAAATTCGTGGAAGTGAGGAGGATCTCTCGGTTTTTGACGGTCTAATTGACCTACATTTGGAAGCGGCCAGCGCTGTTATTGCCTATCGTTAAGTATGAGATCACCAGATTTTACACATTGCAGATGCATATGCTAGTCCAACGCATCGTTTGTTGCTTCTCTGTCAGGTAATCTTGTAATAAAGGAGTAGCAACCGCCGGCGGTTGATCATTCTCATGCTCAATTATGTCTGTACTATCTAAAGTTTTTCTGCAGTAAATCAGTATTTTTCAAACTGAATCCGAGATTTTCTAAAGTGTTTCAGTACTTTCAGAAGAGATTTTAAACTTTTTTTTTCTATGATTCTGTGCTCTCCAAAGTGATTCCGATTTTTCTGAAGTGATTAAATATTTTTCGAAGGGATTCCAAACTTTTCTGAAGTCATTAAGTTTTTACAAAGTGATACAGCTCTTGAAGAAGTGATTGTAAACTTGAAAGAATTGATACAGTACTTTCCGATGTTTCGTGAAGTGATTCACTCCTTTCCGAAATTATTCAGTCCTTGCGGAAGCGATTACAAACTTTCTGGAAAGATTCAGTATTTTTTCAAAGAGATTCAAAATTTTCTTAAGTCATTCAATACTATCCGAAGAATTTTCGAGCTTCTCTTAAGTGATTCATTACTTTCAGAATTGATTTCAAACTATCTGGAATTATTCAGTACTTTTCGGAGCGATTCCAAAGATTTCTGAAGTGATTCAGTACTTTCAGGAGTGATTCCGAATTTTTCTGACGTGATTCAGTACGTTCTAAAATGATTCAGTTTTTTTTTTCTTTATTATAGAGATTTTAAGCCATATGGCTAGTTCATCTCTTAAAATTGAAAAAAAGGAGAAAAAATTGGGTTCTCAGAAGAAGATTCCCAATCTTGGCTGTGTTACATTTATCTTGCTATCATGAAAAGGTGTAGAAAACTGCCAAAAGGGCCAACAAAACGGAAATACAAACAAGGAACGCTCAGATATTGTGGTAAAGGTTCGCCTCCTTTAGGAAGGTGATGAGGGCAGCTGCTGCCCAGGAATTCGTCGCCCAACAGGTTCCAAATGCTGATTAACTCCAAGCCGAAGGCAGCCCGAAGATCTTCCAACTCCGTGCAGTTCACGAGGATGTGCTGGCACTCCGCAGGTTTCGCAAGTCCTCCGGAACGGTGTTCCTCCGAAGTTGTGGGAGACACTGCTGTGCGCAGCCTTGACACCACTCGGCGTTCTCGTAGGTTTGGTTGATCCTTCCAGGTTCCGGTGGTCGCCTTGATCTTCCGAAGATGATGTGTCCTGTTGTTACTCCACTCGTTGTCCCAGGCTCTCCGAATAGTCCGCTTAATCCACTTTTTGACATCTTGGAGCGGTACATTGTCTTGGACCTGAGTCCGGTGTGGCCTGAGCCGGCGAGGTGGTCGGCTATTACGTTCCCTTGGATCCCGCAGTGACCGTGTACCCACATGAATACTGTGTTGGGCGGCGCGTGCTTTATCGTTCCTTGGATCCACGGATACTTCGGTGTTTCTGTTGTTAGGTCCAATATCCCGCTGTGTGAGTCAGCTACGACTAATATCGACCGGTTGGCCGGTAACTTAACCGCGTGGAGAATGACCGCTGCCTCAGCTGAGAACACCGAGCACTGGGTCGGGAGCGATCTGCTCACAAGCAGACCATCTCCGGAGACCCCCATTCCCACTCCACTCCTGGAGAGAGAGCCGTCGGTGTACCTAGCTTCATAACCTTGGTAGTGCGCCCCGAGAGTTTCGACAACTGTCCGGCGTAAAGCCAGCGAGTTGTCTCCTGCCCTGGAGCGGTCCTTGATTCGGCTGTCAATTTTGATCTTATGCAATAGCCAACTTTTGTATCCGTGCCAGTGGACCCTGGCCACTGGAGGGAGATCTTCGTCGGCGGCCGTGTGGAGGAGTCGGTTCGCCTCGTCGAGAAGAACGATCCTGTTGTTTCCCGACGTTTTAGCGAGAAAGGCAGCGGCTTTGGTAGCAGTAGCTGCGGTGAAAACGAGCCGAAAAGGTAGGATACCGGCTTCAACGCATGCAGTGTCGGCCGGGGTAGAGGGCAGGAGACTGTTCGAACGTAGCCGTTGTACACCGGTTCCAAAATCTGGACGGTTTTCTCGGCGGCAAGGCATGTAATCTCTACACCGTACAGTAGGCGACTGTCGATGCTGACTCGAGCTACGATTGTTGGATCGGTCGGGGTGGGAGATGGTCTTAATCCGATTGGACCGATTGCGACAGTCCTTCTTTACTTCTTGGAAGTGCGGCTCAAAGGATAAATTCCGATCGAGGAGCACTCCCAAGACCCTCACGGTGGGTGTTTTTGGTCGGTATTGCTTGTTTTTTTTTAATTATAATGGCCTGTCCGTTGTTGTGATGCCTGGTGGTACATATATGGCAGCGCACGCTTTTGCCGGCGGAAAGCTGGAAACCAACAGAGTCAGCCCATGTGACCACCGAGGAGACTGCCGCTTGCGCTCACAGTTTCGTCCTCTGCAGGGTAGGACCCATCGTTACAATGAGGACGTCATCCACGTAGACGAATATGTAAAAGTTCTTGGGTAGTTGGTCAAAGACCCCAACCGAAACCCGAAAAGATCGGTCCGTCAGAAAGTTCCGGACGAAGTGAAGGATGTGTCCTTTCAGGCTCCAATCAGCAAGCTTCTTCAATACAGCTGGTGTCCATGTTCGGTTGAACGCTTTGGAGATGTCCAGCGAGACGATCTCCGCGTGATGACCTTGGTCCTTTGCTTCCTTCAGGACTTCCCCAAGAGTGGCGAAGTAGGTGGAGGTGCCATATCCTTGGCTGAAGGCGTGCTGCCGATGGTCAAGCAGCCCCTTGGCCTCAAGATGTTGCTTCAGCCTCCTGTTGACCATCCGTTCAAAACTTTGGCCATGCAGCAGGTCAGTGCAATGGGACGAAACCCAGTGATGTCCTTGGTCCCGACATTGGTTTTCGGTAACGGTATAACGGGGCTTTCTCTCCAGTTTTTCGGGTAATCTTCAGTGGTCCAGAGTAGAGGTCGAGAAGTTTCGTTTTTCCTTTGGGTGGAAGGTGCTTTAGCAGCGGGTAGCCGATTTCGTCCGGTCCGACCGAGTTCCCGTTGCTCCGACTGAAAGCGAACACGAGTTCTTCCCAGGAGAGTGGGCTGTTGATCGGTAGGTCGTCGTCGCTGTACTCCGAGATGCCGGATAGTTTGACGAAGTATTTGCCCAGTTCGTCTGCTACGACGGTTGGATCAGTGATGGTGTCTGTTCGAATCTGGAGCGGATATGATCGCCGCTTGCCGCTAAGGACATAATGCAACTCCATAGCTCCGCTGACGATTGTTCGGCGTTGATACTCTCCAGAAAGTCCGACCACCAATTTTGTTTCGCCGTCCGGATCTCCTGTCGGCGTTTGTTGTGCTGCTGACGATAGTTCGCGAGGACCTCTTCTCTTGCTGGATCGTTTGGGGAGGTGCGTTTGAGCTTCCGGAGTGCTTTTCGCCTGGTTTTTACTGCCCTTTTGGTTTCGTCGTTCCACCAGCGGAGTGCCTTCCGCCCGGGGACTGCCTGTCCCACCCGCTCATCGCGCCTCTGCTTTTTATTGACACCAATGTGATATACAGCCTATCAAGCGTTTTTCAGACTTTATATTCAACGGCCCGAAAATAGGGTTGGTGGGCCCTTGCGGGGTATAAACCGAATGTTTTTGCCTTATAAACTAGTACTCCTGAAAATTTAAGCGTTAGGTACCTCAGTACCTAGTCAAATCTCGAGTAGAAATAGTCAATAGCCTATCAAGCGTTTTTTGTAATAATAATTTTAAAAATATGATCCTCATTTATAGTTGTTCATACAAATGAAAAGCACTATTATCACTGACGAGCCGACGTGGCAGCTAATAGAAGCTACATTTAAATTCTTGCCCAAGACGCCATATTTAAAATACCGCCATCTAGTCATCCAATCGCGTCATAACGTGAGCAAGGAAACGTACACAAGTAAAATTTATATCGACTTGGTTTGCGTCTCATCTTATTTGACAGATCTGGTCGCTCATTTGACCGATCGAATCGCTCATTTGACAAATCAAATTGCGGACAAACCAAATGCTCCAGTGACATGTCGGTTCGTCGGTTCTATTATACTGAATGCAGCCATTATTTGGACACATATGTCTAATGTTAAGTTTTGGTAAAATGTATATTTAATTATATCTCTATCTAATGAAGAGGGTCAAACTTTAAAAAACTGGTCAACCAATTTTCCATTCTTGTAGAAAAAAAAACCCATCCTAACAAACCACATTCCATTCACTTTCTCCCTCTTTCAGACAACTGCACCGACATCGAACCGCTCGAGATGCCTACCTCTAGTTCCTCCAACTCGCTCGACTCGATGGACAAGAAGCCAAAGAACAGGAAAAAGTCCTTCAAGGCGGCAAAGACAAAGTAAAATTGATTGTTCCAATCCTCCCAACATCTCGGTATCATCGCTCCAAATCACGCTAAATTGCTTTTTTTTTCTACAGAATCTACAACGCCTACCAGCATGTGCAGCGTCGATTTAAGGAAACCTACGCTTCCTAACCGATTGGGGACACATCTGCGCTCCCCTACAAAAATCAACAACTCCATTTTTCGTTTTTCGACAGCAGCGCTAACTACCCAGCAGATTTAGGAAAGAAAGAAACAACAAGAACTTAAATTAGATTAAAACTACTTACTCATGCCGCCCGTTACTTGGCAGTTAAGGTTGTGAACACGTGCGGAATGGAAACTGCAAACTTATCCAGCTGGATCATCAATCACGTAGTAGGGCGCTCGCATCCCAACAACGCCCAGTCCCTGTCATTATCAAATTATGTCATGTTTTGTTTTCGAATGACCCGGAATGTTAATAGCGCAATCCCAGAGAGCAGTAGGAACTATTTATTCTACTCCATCTATTTATTGATTTCTTTTCCCCGCGAGTAAGCTTTGCTCTGTGCTTTTTGTCGAATGAGAGTAGGCTCTATCTGTCCCAGATAGTAAACGAGAATAGCAACTATCCGAAACTGCCGTGTGTCGTTGATGTCCGTCCGTACAATTGCATGCCGGGAAATACCAATGTAACTATATCAGCGGTAGGATCGTTTCAATGGTGCAAAGTTTGTTTTATTAGTTAATGTTTATTTTGTCTTCCTACTTTTTCATCTATCGACTTTTTATCGGTAGGCTACTTGCATACAACTTTTTTTTTTATTTTGCTATAAAATGACTATCGACTTTTGGAAATAGAGCATTCAGGTACCTAAAGCACATTATTCATCTACTTAATTTTACCACTTACCATAGAAAATGCGCAACAGCTATAATATGAAAATTGAAAGTGATATCTTGTAAGAGAAACGAGCATATATTTTTTAAGGAATAAACTTTTCATTTTATTAAAAATAATTTGATGTTGATGTGGTGTATTTTGAAAGAAATTTCTGACTCCAAAGGGATCTAGGGAACTATACCGAATTGTAAGTTTATAACATTGTCTTCATGTATCATAAATGAAGTTAAAATTAGACCCTATCAAAAACTGTTTATGATTTATTTTCAAAATGCCATGTATCTGCCGTTTAACAATGCTACGGGGCAAGAGTGACCCTTTTATGGGAGCTTAATGTTTATTTATAAACAACAACTTAGTATGCTTGAGCATGCCAGCAACAGCTTTTACTGTTTATTCCTTTACAATATTGAACTATACGATAATTTTTAAACAAAACATATAAATCATGTACGTCAACGATTATTAGTCTGCACAGACTGGTGATGTATGAAACCATTTTTAAATGAATTTTCCAGAAGTTTTTCCAAAAGAGTAGCAATATTTCAGAACGCATCTTACCCACAATGAGGTATTTTCGAGTCATTCATGCAAAATTTTAAGAAATTTGAGTGAAATGTGTGGGCGGACCAAAGCGCACAGAGTTCTCACGGGGACACACGTATTGGCATCGGAAGGATCGAAAATAAACACGCGGCACGGCACTTCACGGAAAAACAGACTAAACTTTTACTATTGTTGTTGCCTCCATTTTCTATAAATCGTTTTCCATCAGCGGTCTTGTTATACTGAATTAAATTTGACAAATCTCAACCGAACTGAGCTGCAAGCTGCACTTCACAATTCACTTTCTTCTAAGCACCTCACGTAAAGCCAATTTCATAAGCACATTGTTGTGTTGATGCGCCAGCTAAACGTTTTTATCATGGCTTGCTAGGATCATGATGTGAAGCCGAAAAAGCTATACAGTGTTGTTTGAATGAGAGATGACGTGTTGTAGAGGTTGGATGTTGTTGGTAGTATGGCAAATGTGTTTCTAACATGCCAAACGTAGAACCTATCAGAACCTAATGAAACTACTTGTATTTTGTAGTTCTAAGGCATACTTTTTGAATGAAGATGGTTTGGCTTGCCCGTATTCCCCCGTTCTCCAGATATTTTGCGTAGAAAATGACCTATTTTTATGTTAAAATATTGAATAACTTTTGATAGGTTCATTATAACAACCTAATGTCTTCTAATAAAATGCATGTTTTGATGATATCTAGAACAAATCATACTGCTAAAATCAAATTGTGAATATTTTTTCTAACAAAAAATGATTTTTGAGGGAGTTTTTATAAAAACGTCAGTTAACTCATCATACATTGAGTATACGATATTGACACCTTCAGCAAAGTTGCTAGTATTTGCATTATCTACAACTTTGCTCAAGATGCCAACCACTTTTGAGCATGTTTACAAAATTTGAATTTTCTATTGCCCTTCTAGGTGGATAGATCCTAATTTTACTGACTTCAAAACAAAGCTTACAAAGTATCTAACAACTTCTCTGAAGACACTACCCTTCCAAAATGACGTTTACATACCCAAAATAAAAAACGCACGTTTTCGGTAGGTTTGAACAACTGTGCGAAGGTGCGAAACTCAAACAGCCCTGGTTGTCTTCGTTTATTACTGTTGCTTTCACCTGTTTTTCACCAAAGTCCTCGAGTAGTCACCTTTTTGGCTCCAAACTGCAGTTTCCAGTCCATCGTTCTTTTCAAATAGCGTACCACGCGCTTTGCAGCGGTCCAATCAGCCTCCGTGGAAGCACTGAATTTCCGACCAAGAATCCTGACACTTGTCGCTCCGGGTGTGCACACACCGCATCATATAGTAGTGCACCTACCACGCTTCTGTACTTCGTACCATCTTCGAATGGTTTGCTGTCAACCTCATCCTTCAGATAGCCCTGATCCATGGGCGTTCTTGCTGTCTTTGTTTCGCTAAGACTTGTTCTGGCAACCAGTTGTTCAAAGTAGTTGGTCAAACTCACACTGAACACGCCATTCACCCTTCGAACTTCCTGTCCTAGGAAATGTTTCACATCGCCGAGATTAACTATTTCGGAATGCTGACTCAGCTGCTTCTGAACACGAGTTATTTCATCGTCGCTCTCACATCTGATCAGAAAATCATCCACGTAAACGATAAGGTAGATTTTCTTATCGTTTCTGGTTGCCATAAATAGACACGGATCCGCGACACTTGCTTTGAAACCCATTTGTGTCAGAACACCGGTTAGCTTCCGGTTCCAACATCGAGCTGACTGTTTCAGTCCGTATATGCTCCTACGAAGTCGGCAAACAATCTCCTCCTTTCCGTGAACCTCGTAGCCAGGTGGTTGACGCATATAGATTTCTTCTTCGATTTCTCCATAGAGATCCAAGTGCTTCAACGCCATACCTCTCTTTCCAGCCAGGGACAACAGGACTCTGAGTGTAGCATGTTTGGTCACAGGGGCGAGCACTTCATCATAATCGACGCCATAGCACTGAGTAAATCCCTGCGCGACTATCCTTGCTTTGTAGCGGACGACTTCATTTGATTCGTTCCGTTGCACTTTGAACACCCAACGACTGCCTACAACTTTCTACACCAACTCCCATGTTCCATTCTGCTTATGCGAACCATCGCTTCCTTCCACGAAAATCGATCCGGACTGGACACTGCTTGCTTGTACGTCGCTGCTTCCTGAATATTCCTCGAAGTATGTGGAGGTTTTGTGTCTACGAAAAGCTTTGAAAGCATCAGATTTTTCTACATACAATTTTGTGCATTCTTCGTCCCATCCAGGTGTGGCAGGTCTCTTTTTGAAGAGTGCACTTGGAACTTTTCTTTTTTGTGCTTCCAGTGAGCTTTTGTACATCAAATCGGCGAGGAATCGATATTCTTCCAATGGTGAAAGCATATTTATTGATTCGACACCGATTGTCACCGCCATTGCATAATTCTGCCAGTCGATGTTCCTTGTAAGATCAAATGGAACTCGAGATGGTTCTGCAGATTGAGGGCCACACTTAATTGAAATGATGATTGGCAAATTATTGCTACCATGGGGATCATTGATAACCTTCCACAGACAATCCAATGATAGCGATCTTGAACACAAAGATAGGTCGAGTCGGCTTTCCCGAGCCGGAGGTTTTGATATACGTGTCGCTTCACCAGTGTTCAAAATAGTCAAATTGAAGTCGTCACATAAATCGTAAAAAATAACCGCTCTATTGTCATCATATGGATCGCCACACCCAGTACCATGGGAGTTCATATCACCCAGAATCAATACTGGAGATGGAAGAATCGAAACTAGATTCCAGAGTTGACTACGGCTAACGGAGGTTATTGGTGGAACGTATACTGAAGCTATGCAAACGTCTTTGTTTATTTGGCAAGCGACGGTTTCGACGCCTGATAGAGCAGGAAGGGAAATTTTGTAGAAAGGGTAGCACTTTTTGATCCCTAAAAGTACTCCTCCATAAGAATCGTCTCTATCCAGGCGTATAATGTTAAAATCGTGGAAGTTGAGTTCTTTATCGGAAGAAAGCCATGTTTCACAGAGTATTTGAGTATAATCAGAATTGTGAAGTAAAACTTTGAACGAGTCTAGTTTAGGCACTAGGGGCTGTCCATAAACTACGTAGACAGTTTAGGGGGGGGGGGTTGACATTTATCCACGGCCCATACAAATTTTAATAATTTTGTATGGACAATTGTCTACGCAGGGGGAGGGGGGGGGTCAAGAATCCCAAAAAACTGTCTACGTAGTTTATGAACAGGCCCTAGACTACGGCAGTTCCATTGTAGCACAGTGATCATATCTTCAACCTCGTTCGACGAATTATCCATCGAAAGATATGATTGATGCAAGGAGGGGCCATGAAACAGTCAATTGCTTAAGATCTGATTCTAATGTTGGAAGCAAGGCTCATTATGTATACTTATCAACAATGAGGAGCTGAATAGTAGGGTTTTACTAAAAATTCTCAAACTTCTTATAGATTCAACCAATTACGCTCATTTTTTTTTCCGAATACTTGAAATTTCAGAATATTTCGTGAACATGAAAAAAATTGCGATGTTCTACATTTATGTCCGAAACTGTATCTTGGCCGAAAAATCAAAACATGAATCGGTTTTTTTTATGGGCTTACAGGGAAATATGTTCTGTAAAATTATAAATTCTCAAAACCCCCAAAGTCTCAGAAGTCCGTATTTTCTGAAAGATGTCTAAAAACGCATTTAAAAAAACATAGAGTATAGCGCTACTTTGTCGTCCATTTCCTTTCTATCGATCAGAAAAGATCAATAATATCAATGATTTCACCGTGCACAAATCAATAATAGGTTTGTTCCGATGTGTTAGTTCATTAGCTACAACATAAATCGCATAAGAGCGCATTGTATGAATATTTACACTCATTGTTCTCAAAACAAAAGAAGCGCTCATAGCGAATCCCCTTTTTCTACGTTTATCCGTAGGACGAAGAAAATCTAATGGCGTTTCAATGCGTTAGGACGGAATTGAATCTCGTAGGATGAATTTAGAATCAAGAAGCAGTGTTAGATTTTAAACAATATCTCAACAATTTGTGACTTTTTATCAAATCCAATCAAATGGAAAGGTGAATAAATTTAGAAGTCATCTTTGACAGAAATATTTCATTTTTTTTATCAAACCAGTTCAAAAAAGATAGGTAAAGCATGGGTTGTGCTTAGTAGGACGGAAATTAGATCAAAAACTCTATATGAGGGATATATTGATCCCCTATTGATAACATGCTTTTTATAAGGGAGAGTGCACACAGGGATCTTTCTTACAAAACATTTTAAATACTCTATAGCCTCTAACATGATATATACACACACTTAAAAGAACGGTTTTCTTAACCTTCTTAGTGCATTAGGATCTTTTTTGACTTAAAAAAAAGCAGTCACTTTGTAACAAAACATGGTAGATACCTGAAATTTTCTCACTTTCGCTCAATTTTTGAAACAAACATATTACTGTCAAAAGAAGCTTTCAGTGACCTCTAGGAGTGGCGCTACAAAAAAGGGACACATTGTGCAACTC